CCCCCCCCCCCCCCCCGTTCCCCTCCTCAGCACCTCTCCACCCCACACACCCCCTCCCCACCTCCTGTGGGGCTCCCACGCCAGCCATCCACACCACATGTCCACGCCAGAGAAACCCGGCAGTGCCTGTCCTCCAGCACGGGGTGGGAGGAGCAGAAATACTTTATTTAAAAAAAGAAAAAAAACAGCAAAAGGAGAAAAAAAAAAAACCAAAACCAAACCCATCCCCGCGACCTAGATAGATGAGACCATCTCGCCCATCGCCATTCATCTTTTGTCCTTCCCGGGCCCTCCGGGGAGTGGAGCTGGCTCTGAAACTGCCTGCTCTAAATCGGTGTCATCGCTGATGGGCGTCTCCCACTTCGTTCACTGTGCCAAATTCCTGGAGCTGGTGGGGAAGGGGCAAGGGCACACCCCGCTTCCCTCCCGCTTCCCTCCCGCTTCCCTCCCGCTTCCCTCCCATCTTTCCCCCACGTCTCTCTGAGCTCAGATCCCATGGGGATTTAGGGATGGAGCTACCGTGGGGGCAGAATGGGGAAGAGAGGCAAGAGTAGCTGCATGCTGGAGTGCAGCAGCCGCTCCCCCCTCCGTGGGGGTGGGGGGGGGGGGTCCCCTGCTGTGACCCTCCACTCCCATCTGGCAGGTGAATGGGCTGGAGACGGTGCGGGTGCCCATGTCCGTGGTGAAGTTCCTGCGGCCCAAGACCAAGCGCTACAAGCACTGGCTGGCGCAGCAGCAGGCCCAGCTGGCGGCACGGAGGGAGGCACTGCTCTGAGCCCGGGGTGGGGGCCCTACCAGCCCCCCTGGACCCCAGTTTGCTACCGGTAGGCGCTGGGGGAACGGGGTGGGGGTTCCCTGATCTGTTACACACACCCCACTCCCCCTCCTTGCTGGTTGCTGGTACTGAATAAAGGGCTTGATGGGGTTTGGAGGGGGGGGGGACACAAGGGGTGGGCGGGGGCAGCTCCCTGGGGACCCCCTGTAACCCCTCCCCGTGTGCAGCTTCCCTCCCAGTGGCACCTTCTCCTGCCCCCCCTGCCCCGAGAGCACCGGTGGGGAATGGTGACACCACAGCAGCACAGGGCGCAGGGTCTCACTGCCTGTTATTGGAATGAGACCCTGCTGTCCCCCCCCTCAGGGCACCGCTCCTGGCCTCCCCAGCTCCTCCTGGATCTGGCCTGGCAGCTCTGGCTGGGTGAAGTACGCTGCAGGGGGGTGGGCAGAGGGGTGAGTGGGAGGCCGGACCCCCTCCC